GTATCACCCATGGATGACATATGGGTCATTGGTCAACATGGTAGTTGCTTATGGTGTCCATGGATGACATATGGGTCACTGGTCAAGATGGTAGTTGTTTATGGTGTCATGGTATCACCCATGGATGACATATGGGTCATTGGTAAACATGGTAGTTGCTTATGGTGTTCATGGATGACATATGGGTCATTGGTCAACATGGTAGTTGCTTATGGTTTCATTGTATCACCCATGGATGACATATGGGTCATTGGTCAACATGGTAGTTGCTTATGGTGTCCATGGATGACATATGGGTCATTGGTCAGCATGGTAGTTGCTTATGGTTTACGACTTGTGACATATGACATATGGTTTACGGACGTAGGGTATAGGGATTATGGCTTATGGAATATGGAAATATGGCGCATGCTTTACGGATACAATCATTATGACATAAGTAAAAATCTCTAAGCCTTAAGCCTGAAGGATTAACCCTTAAAGCCATAAGTAATAAACCATAAGTCCTATATCATAAGGCTTAAGCCCTATATGACTATACCGTAAGGCATAAAGCTTAAGGCATAAGATATATGTCTTATGGTTTATGAGGTATGGATTAGGGCTTAAGGCTTATAACATTTAACTTATGAATTAGGGTTTATAAGTTAGGGCTTGAGGGTTATAGATTTGGGTCTAGGGGTTTGGATTATGGATTAGGGCTTATAACTTATGGCTTATGGATTAGGGCTTATAACTTATGGCTTATGAATTATGAACTAAGGCTTTGAATGTAGGGCCTTAGGTTTATGCCCTATAATTATATGGTTTAAGGTTTATTTCATATGGCTTAGGGCCTATTACATATAACTTATGGTATATGTCTTAGGGCTTATGGCTTATGACTTATGGATTATGACTTAGGCTTTAAGGCATATGACTTTTGGCTTATGGCTTATGGATTAAGGCTTATGGATTATGATTTATGGATTAGTGTGTAAGCTTTAAGGCTTGTACCTTCTAATGTATGACTTATAATGTATGCCTTATGGCGTACTACTTAAGGCTTAAAACTTATAGAGTGTGGTTTTAGGCGTACAATTTATGGATTATGGATTATGTTACTCACCACTAGATTGTTCTTTATTTTATGTCAAATAAATCTTAATATACCGGTATATGTTTTATTATGATCAAACATGTTCCACTTTGTACAACTATAAATAACAATAATATAATAATAATAAACAAATAAAAGTGTAATAAAATGTTTATAATTTATAAACTAAAAATATTTTTATTAAACAAAATTACAATAAACAAAATTTTAAAATTTTAAAATACAAAATACAAATATAAAGTTTTATTTTCATAAAAAAAATAATGTTAACAAAATTAAATTATGATATTAAAAAAAACTTATAAAATATTGGAATTTCATCTTCGTTTTCCCTCTCCCTCTCCGTGTCCAAAATTTCAAAGATAATTGAAGCCCAAAATTTTGAATACAGTTTTCGTCGCCAAAATTTGACCTCAGTTTATTTCAGATGCTTCCCAAAATGATATGCGTTTCTGTTTCCCAAACCCTAATTTGATTAGAGAAGGAACCCGAGTTACTTCCTGCTCCTCCCATCTCGCCGTTGAGAAGCATCGATCGGTGAAGTGTGCGTTTTAATTTGACACGCTCCCATCGAGAACCATCAGTAGAAATTGATGCGCCGACTCCACCTCTGTTTTAAGATCTGGAAGTGGAAGGCGGTTGCTACAAGGTTAATCCATTCTAGGTTTTCTTTCTACATATTCTCTTGTTGTTGTCCCTCCTATGTGTCCTCCTTTATCACCGTTGATTGATGCGCCGAATCAACCTCTGCCATTGGAGAATGGCGACCTTCGTCCTTGCCTGCCGTCCCTCAACCCCAAACGCAGCCCTCCCCCTCCCCCCCCCCCCCCCCCCCCCGGGGGGGGGGGGTGCTCGTGAACCCTAACATTGGTCATAATCGCATTCAGGCCGCAAAGTATAGTGGTAAGACGTGTATCATCTAGGTGTGCTGATCTAAAGTCTTGATTTTTGCACATGTCTTGTTTTTCATATACGTTGTTATTATCTACATATGACCGTATATTACTTCCACTGTCATTGTATAGTCGATAATATGCACAACTATGCAAGTGAGAGATCTGGCACTAGAAAACAAAGGAAATGTCATGCTTATACCTTCACTATGAAAGTGATATATGTACTTTCTTACTCCATTCGGAAGATGAGATGGCTTATGGGGTTTGTTTAAAATCATATTGATCTTACAAAATACAAACAACAAATTCCATTCTTTTGTTAAATTTCAATCTTTATAAGGAATTAATAAATGTGATTAGTTATTCGATATTTGTACGTAGCATGTATTTGTTAATTTTTGTACATAAAGCTCTCTTCACTTGCAAATCATACAGGCATACATATTCATGCGAGGATATTCCAGATGGAATTCAAGGCAAGCGCTACAAGTTGTGAAGCAAGTTTTCCCACAGGTAAATTCTTCCGTATAGTTGCCAAATTTAAGACCAAAATCATATTATTATTTTCCAATATATATTTTTTTTAAATAACATTCTTCTTTTGTTTTATTTTTATTATTTTTAGGATGATGCAGTAAAACCATCTCTGGTTATTGTTTATTTTGGAGGTAACGATTCAGTCCTTCCGGATCCAGATGGCCTAAGTTCTCAATTTCTCATGTACCACTTGATGAATTTGTTCGAAACATGTGGAACATTTCTACCCATCTACAGGTCAATTTTTACCATAATATATTTTGTTATTAATATATACTAATAACTAAACCATTATAATCTTTTACTAGTTTTAGTAGAATGGCACATAGTATACATCCTTAAGTTAATTGATTTTAATACAACCTACCTTTTCTTAATTACCAGAGCCTTTCGGAGACCACACGCCTAATATTTCTTACTGCTCCTCTAGTGAACGAGGAAAAAATGAAAGAAGTTATCGGGTCATTATTACCATTCTAAGTTTTATCTTACATTTTTAATTATCATATAATTAATATTCTATCTAATTGTCAATTACAACTGTTCTTCTATAAATTCAGTATTGAGAATCGTAAAAATGAACAATGCAGAATATACTCTGATGCTTGTCTAACATTGTACAAAGCAATGAATATAAAGGCTATTGATATTTTCACCTTAATTCATTGATGGCCTGACTGGACAACCAGCTTTATGTAAATATATATGCTTTATTTGTTCCTAAGTTCTAGTTTATTTTTGGCTCTTTCTAAAAAAAAAAGTTCTAGTTTATCTTTTCATTTATGAGTGTATATATGTTTAGACAAGTAAGTTACTACTTCTTTTTGTATCTGATGGACTTCATAGGGACATGGCGTAATAGATGGAAGTTGTAGGTAAAAAAGTTGCGGATGACCAAATATTTTATGATGTTGGTGGTCATGACAAGAAAAGAAGACTATGGATTTGCTCATATTCAAAGGCGATTCCCATGATTAACGGTACAACGGAAGTATCTAATTACAATTTGAATTTTTTTTTGAACAAGAAGAATTGAGGGAGCTTGTTCATCAGCAAAAAGAGCAAAATGAAGAACTTAAGGATATAATAAAGGCCAACCATAACCAACACAGCAAAAGAATCGAGCAATTTAATAAACAACTATAATCGACAGTGACTGTTGTTATTGCTTTTAAAGACCTACAAAACTAGTAGATCATAAAATGTTAATTTGTTTATTGCAAAGTATTTATTAGAGATTAGCCACTTTTCATTTTCGATGTAATAAATATTTATTGTTTTATTTTATGATATAAATGTTATTTGATTTTTTGTTATTTTTATTTTTATATATTAGTACAAAATAATTTGAATTTAATGATCCATTCGTAGCTATCTAGCTTTGCAACGAAAATATTCATACGTAATTTGCTATGGAATCTGTTGTAGAATATAGACAACAGATTTTGTTAGAGATTCATCATAACGATTTTATTTAGGGATTCATGATCACAAAAGTTGCTAGGAAGTAATCAAACGGAAGTTGCTAGAGATTCATCACGACGAAATTTGCCAGGGAATCACCACAACGGAATTTACTAGGGAATGACCACCACAAATTTTACTAGGGATTCACCACCACAGAATTTGCTATGGAATCATCACAACGGATTTTGCTAGGGATTAACTACAACGGAATTTGTGATGGAATAACTACCACGGATTTTGTGATAGAATCCTACTACGGAATACACGACCAAATACCATCTACCACGGATTTCATTCCGTTGTCACAATTGCGACGAAATGATTGTTTCCCTAGCAAACGCTCGCTACGAAGTTTTTTGGGACGGAACTCGGTCGTCGCAAATTCCGTCGCTATTCGTCATTTGCAACGGAATTTCATCTTTTCACAACGGAATCCTTCCCTAGCAAAATCGCGTTTTTCTTGTAGTGCGTGAGGAAGGGTTGCTTGCCGGCTTGACACGTGTCGCACGCCTCGTGGTGTCACGTGTCTGTTTCTTAGTTGTCCATTTCATCAATTTTGCTGCTAAATTTCAAATCTTCAAAAATCATATCTTTCGCATACGAGCTATGTTTTCGACGTTCTTTATATTCTCGTTTTCGTATTGACGAGTACTACAATTTCATTTAGACTTCGCTAACTAATTCACATTCTATTTTTAATTTTACAATCCGTGAAGGTTACACTGTAAAATACTCTGCGAAATTCATAACATTTTCATACGAACTCCATTCTCGACGTTCTCTATATCGATGGATTCATATTTACATAGACATCAACTTTCGTTTAGATTGTTTTGGCTAATGAGCAACCTATTTTCATTTCATATTTTATGACACATCGTTGTATTGGGTTGAAATAGAAACTTCGAAAATCATGATTTCTTCATATAAAGTCAGGTTTGGGGGCTTTTTATATTCACAGGTTCGTAATCACGACTACTACGATTTTCATTAAGACTATTTATCCTAAATAATCTTTCATTTAAAAATGTTACTTTATCGTTTAACGATAATAAAATTTTCTACAAATATTATATATCCATAATATTTGTACACATAACATATGTACAATGATATATAGTTTGTAACGCGTACGACGAACAATTATCCTATTTGAGAATTTTATTAGTCAATAAAATGGATAATCATATAATCATTATCACTTAAACATCTATTTGATTTGTTTACAGCCCTATGTTTCGCACAACTTTTACAATTTTGTGTATTTAAGTGATTGATTTGGCTTTAAATCGATCACTCATGATACCTTTTGGTTGAAGACGAATTTGTCGATAAAGTTTGAAGAAGAACAAAAATGGCTGAGGAACAAGAATCACACGAAGCAATTAATCACGTCCTACGACACTTAATCTCTGAAGACGAAATTGAAAAGTGGTGGTTTCAGGATGACTGTTTGGATCTCGATATCTTGTTCGTTGCCATTCTTCATCTTTTTTTGCGGCGTCTCAGATGGAGTTGAAGGAGGTTGAAGACGGAGCTGCACCCCAACAACTACCCAAAACCCTACCCATTGTTGGCTTTCCTCTCCACTTCCTCACTAGTACTCCTCATCATTCTTCTTTCTCCAGCAACACCAACTACTGCCCTAGCCACCATACACGTTGATCAAAATCCGACCTGACCTCCCCTATTGACAAACACACTCGCACCTTCCTCCTTCTCATGCTCTCTTTTCCGATCTCTGTTAACCCACCACCGATCTCCTCCCAGAAAACCCATCCAAAACCACCACCACTTATCTACAACATGCGTGTTTTATGTTTCTTGTTTTCTTGATCAATAACATAGTGAAAGGGGTTGGGAAGGTTCATTAGAGGGTAGAGACGGTGATGGTGGTCGGTGACTGACCAATGAGTTAAAAGTCTCCTTTTTCTCTCATCGGTCAGCATGTTTGTGTTTCTCTCTTTATGTGTATGGATTAGGGAAAATAAAGGGGAAGGGGCCTTTATTATTTATTTTTTAATTTAAATTGATAATAAAACCATTAAATTAATTGAAAAAAATACAATGGTATTATGATAATTTCAAATTGGCACGAACTATTTTATCTTTCAAGGATAAAGGATGCAAGGTTAAATCAAACAATAAATAATCTAAATTAATTTTTGAGAATAAAGACCGAATATGCTTTTTAACAACCACACAAAAAACAATTCGTATAATTTATTTTGTTATTTCAAAATTAAGAAACAAATATAATATTTATTCAATTTTAAAATAACTAATAAATAACTAAAAATAAAATTAATCATTATTTAAAAATAAAAAAAGTGATTAGTTAATCATTAGTGTTTTACTTTAATGTTATACCAAAAATAATGATTGAGAAAGTCAAGTTAAATATACTAAAAAATTCGGGGTCTAATTAGTTGCATGTTGGACACCATAACAATGAAAGTCCAATCGTATCAACTTCCTACCCTGTTAGTCGAATATATTTATTTCTAGTAATCTTAACTGTCCATATCAAGCTACATCATATCATTATATATTTATATAAATGATATATTTTTTATATCATTACAATTATTTGAAACTTGCATGTCTTTTCATATTTTATTTATAATAATGATTTCATAATATCTATTAAAACCTACATAACTTTTCACTAGCATCTAATTAACAACTACCACTCAGTAGTTTTTTAACTTATGATATTTAATGGTTCTTATGACAACAATTGATTAACAATGATATATATATATATATATATATATATATATATATACACACAC